TCACTCCCCCTCGCCACGCAGTCCATCCCTGCCCCCCCACCCCACCCCCTGCCTTTCCCATCGCGGTCTCCGGGGTTTCCCTGTCCCTATCCCCTGCCTCCTGTCCTAGTGGCCACAGTTCATGTTTCCCCCACCACCCCCAGCACAGGGTATAGCCGACCCTCGGTCGGTTCCCCGGTGTCTCGGGAACACGCTCCCACAATAAACACGTGTGTGCACCCGAGCCCCGTGTCGCCATTTCGTCTGTTCCCGCACTAGAACTGAGCCTCGCAGAGCCGAAGGGGAAAGTGGCCACCCTCTCCTTCCCTCCTCCCGCTGTGCCTGCAGGTGCCCGCCTGGAGCCGGTCTCGCACGGCAACACAGTCTGCAGTTGGTGCTTTCCTAATATCTGTTTTCTTGTTATTCTCATAAGATTGTTTATAAATGGGAGTCTTGTTAATTAGCCAATCGGGTGAAATGTATTGATTAAATGACCAATCAGGTCCACCTGTATCGGATCAGTGTGTAAAATAAGCAGCTCCAAGATGTGCACTTATGCCACTCAGCCTTCTGACTGACTTTTTGTTATTTCTTACTGAACAGTCACACCAACTCTTAAGTTAATGGCCCATACAAGGATCGAACCCACTATCTTGGCATTATTGGCAGAGCACCATACTCTGACCAATGGAGTTAATATCATGGCACGTTGGAAAGATCCTGTAACAAAAATACACACTTTGCATAAAAGCAACTTTATATAATCACAAATATTATAGGATTTCTCTGCAAACTGCTAGTAAGAAGGAGAGATAAACATGAAAAGAAGGAATGCAGAAGCAAAATTCATGAGACCATTTTCCTCAGTACCACTGCGGCCCAAGCACATTGCCAAATCCGTCTTCCTCTGTCTGGATATGGTCAAACCCCATCAGAAAAGTTACATGTTACATCAAAAAAAGTTACATTAGCAAAACATGTTGCATCAGTAACCTGTTTTGCTCCTAGACTAGCAGTAAAGTTTATTTTGTAGCTTAATCACTCCTAGGTCATTTGGATTTCATAATCCTGCATTTTCTCATAGCCTTTACAACAGCAGTGACCATTCCAGGTTTTTAAACACGACCACGTGTATGAGCCAGGCATGGAAGCTCTGCAAGCTGTGGCATGGACCAAATGCCACCTGGCTCCAAGACAGCTTTAAAATATTTTAAAGAAAAAATATAAAGAAAAACTAATAAACATTTCAAGCAATGCTTGAGGTTTGAGACTGAATATTTTTTTTACAGTATGTGCCTTCTGGAAGCAGAATCATCAGAAATACAGCACACTCTTTCTCAATAATAAATGCTATCATCCAAAGATACAGATAATACCAGAAAAAACTGCTCCCAAATCCTGGATCTTTCAAATCCAGGAAACAGTTTCAAACTCAAAGTTTCTTTCCATCACTGAATATTTCTCCATTAAAAAAATAAGCTGAAAGGAAGCCTATTTAGCAAAATTTTCTGTTTTTTCCACAGCTCTGAGAGCTGAACAACTGTTCTAGTGGAAATAGTACCAAAAGGAAGGTCTGTAGACATCCTTCTGAATCCAGGAGTTTTGGAAACAGTTCCTCAGTACACAGATCTACAGTAACATAAATTAACATTTTTATCTCACTATTTTATTGTGACAACATTTTACAAATGCAGCCTCACAGCAGGTATGATGAGGGCAAACCTCATTTCTCTTATTTTTATGAATAGATTTGGGATCAGACACAACAAAGATGAACAGAAACTAGTCCATTAGGAGAACATTTCACATGTTTCGTTCATTCACTGCACAAAATATAGAAACCATTCTGGAGCATGTGTTTTCTTTTCAGGATTCTCCCTTTGATAACGACACATTAACCTTCAGAAAATGCACATCTTCTATTCTGACACTCACTCTAGCCCATTCTCTGTGTACAAGGTAACAGCTTCACAGGGATGTCTCCACATCAAACCAGGCCTAGTCTCAAACCAGGATGGTCTGTAAGAAGATGGGCTCAAAGCCTGGATCTTCCTACTAACAGTAGTTTATTAATGAGTCAGGAGAACATTGCAAGCTTTTCTGGCTTTGCTTTTAGAAAAATGTAATGATTGTTATCAAGATCATTGTGCATTATACCCACCCTTGCAGATTTATCAAGTGCACAGTGAGAAGACTGATAAGCTAAAAAGATTCTAAATGGACCTAACCTCTGAATTTTGAATGGTCTTCAGCATGAATGTACCATTAGGTCACATGGAGGTTGAGAGAGTTCTAGGCATAGGCTGTTTTATTTAAAAAATAAGAAAATAATTTTAAAAGGAGAAATAATTCCAAGGGAAAAAAAAATAAAAAGACAAACAAGGAAGAGCTTGCCAGTTTCAAGAAAAGGTTTGTAAAGTAAGGTATAGTCTTTATGCCTTTTTGAAGGCTGGAATATTGCCATCTTCCTTGGAGCTACTAACTTCAATAGCAGAAAACATGATCTTCATTGGTTCCGCCAGTTTAAAAAAATAAATAAATTTGGATTAATGAATCAAATTAATATTTTTTTTAAACTTTATGTGAATTTTTGTGGACTGCATCATGCATAAGGCCTGTAAAAGGTTAGTGAAAGCTCGTGATAATTCATGTGTGTACAAAGTCTTCACTGCCTATTGTTGATCTAAGATGGTAAAACCTGATTGTCTTTGCAACCAATTTTTAAAATCCTGTGTCAAGATCTATAAAACTTTTAATATTTAACTAGAGGATAGCTCATTTGACAAATGCAAAAACTTAAATCCTGAAAAATAACTAATATTTTGTTAACATCTGGAAAAAACCTGTTAAATATTTTTGGCTAAACTTCATAGTATGTTCTCCATTTAAATAAAATAAAAATTAAGGTTTTCTCTTTTTTTTTATTTTAATTTTTTTTTTTTATTTTGACAAAAAGGCTTCAAGGAAAAATGTCAGTTTTGCGTAAGTGCAGAGGCCAGAGACTGGTGAAAGGCAGTGCTGGTACACCACCTTTGCCACAAGGTGGCATGACGAGTATTCTTTAGGAACACAAAAGTAAAATGAAGTATTAAAAACAGCAGCAGAGGCTGAATGTGTATGGGTGATTTTTGGCAGGATGCGGGAAATGTATACATACACATACATAGATTCTTCTGCAGAGTTGTCAATCTGAAGTTTAGTATGCATAACACATGATTAACTAAACCATGTCAGCCTGTTCAGTGGTCCAGATTTAAATCACATATAGCCATACACAAAATATGGTGATCTAGGAATGGCTGATGTCTAGAGAGAGGGGAGTTAAGACAGGGCTATGAGGTCTGCAGGGTATATACAGGAGATGATTTGCAGCAGCTTAGTGAAGTATTTTATTCTTCTTTAACAAGTCTGGAATAGGCAAATGCAAGCAGTACACAAAGTACTGCTGCACATAACCCAACTATGTAGGATGATCCTCTTCCTTACCTATCTAGATTACAAATTAAAAAAAATAAAAATTAAAAAAAAATTAAAATTCTAGATTAATGTCCACTGGAATAACTGATTTGTATCTTCAGCTTCCTGGAAAATGCAATTGCTCTTTATAATGTCTGCAGATTTGTCCTAGGGCAGGTGAACATTAAGAACCAGCCCAGAACTGGCAGGACAGGAGATATGACCCAAACCCTGCGGATGAAAGCTGCATCCCACCTGGCTGCCAGCTTTCTCAAGTCCTGTAGCAACTGGAGACCATGGAATTGTGGCTTCTATGACTCATGAAAGACACAATTATCTTCTAAACTACATAATAGAATTAAAATGTGCAAATAAACACATGCAAGAGACCACCTGAGTCTGAACGCATGAGAAGAACAAGAAAAACACTGTCAGATCACCTCTGCTTCTCTTGCAAGTGTTTTTTTTATGGTTGGACTTCGGGATTTTGAAGGTCTTTTCCAGCCTCAATGATTCTATGATTCTAAGAGCTAAGGAAGTATGAATGCTTACCATGAGATGCTGCAAAAGCACAGAAAATCCTAATTTACCAAAAAGAGACTTGAACCCCTTTGGCCACAAAAAACCACATGAGAATATCCACAAGGCCAAGGAAAATGTGACTTTTTTTACTTCAGAAAAAACAGCAAGAATAGGCAAACACTTTCAAAACTTAACTGTTAGCATGAAAAGTTAGCCATGTATCTCAGTTTAGTCCCCCCAAAGAATGCTGTCTTGGTGAATGTCATCCAGCACCACCATACTTCTCACTGAAAATTTTGTGTCAGCAGGGAAGTGAGCAAGAATTAGAAAATGTAGCATTAAATAACCAAACCCAGAGCATTTACCAGAGTAAAAGCACAACCAAAGTAACAATAATGAAAAAAAAAAAAATCAACAGTTGGAAACATTTCCAGGGATGATTTACAGCAATGTAATTTTTATTACTGGGACAGTCATTGATAATGCCATAGTTAAATTCAGATTAATCAGTACTGATTTTCAAAAGTTAAGAGAGAGGATCCTCACATAGTACAATACATACTACCCTGAAAGCCAGGACTGCTTTTTATTTCTTGCCATGATTTTCTATCATTTCCTATCAAGCTTTGATCACTTCTTTCCCATCTTTAGACACAGACACATACACACAGAGAGACAAAAAACCAAACAAAGATGAAAATCTAACCAAACAAACCAAAGCAGAAAAATCCTACCAACCAACCAAAACAATCCCAAAACCCAATGACCAAGAGAAGGCAGGCTTTGCCAGTTTCAGAACAAGGTCTGTTAATTGAGGTACAACTTTGATGTCTCCGTAGAGGCTGAAATACTAATGCACTAACAGAGCATCACCTCCGCGGTGTCCGCCGCAGCACAAACCCCGCTCCGCCCGGCCGGGCGGCACCAAACGCACTCCGCCCGCTCCCCGGCGGCGGCGGCGCGGAGCCGGGGCTGCCCCGGCGGGGCGGGGCGGTGCATGCGCGCCCGCGCTTGTTTGTCACACGGCTTATAAGGCGGGGCCGGCGGCGGCGCGGCAGCGCCTTTGTGGGGAGACGCCGCGTCGGCACCAGCGCCGCCCGCGCCGCGGCCGGGGCTCCCCGCCGCCCCCATGAGCCGCCTGTAGGGTACGCGCTGCAGCACCCCTGCGCCCCAGGGGCTCGGGGTCGGTTGTTTTTTGGGTTCCCCCTTCCCCCTTTTTTTTTCCTTAACAGTCTATTTTTGTACACTTTGCTATAAAACCATGGTGCTGGGGAAGGTGAAGAGTCTGACGATAAGCTTTGACTGTCTGAATGACAGCAATGTCCCTGTTTACTCTAGCGGGGATACAGTCTCAGGAAGGGTCAGTCTAGAAGTAACTGGGGAAATCAGAGTGAAATCTCTTAAAATCCATGCGAGGGGCCACGCTAAAGTACGTTGGACTGAATCGAGGAATGCTGGATCCAACACTGCCTATACACAGAACTACACCGAAGAAGTGGAATATTTCAACCATAAAGACATCCTGATCGGCCACGAGAGAGGTAAGGGCTGCCCTTTACTGTGCTGCTTTGCTTTTTTTATGGAAAAAAAGCACGCATCTTTGTATCACCCCGGTTTAGTCCTGTCTTTTAATAGGTGCATTGGAGAGCAGGACGTGCCCAGGGTCGTATCTTTGCGATGGAGTTACATATAGGAAATGCATTTGCAAAGTACCTGCAAGCAAGAGGACTCCCTTTGAACTACGTGCCCTTCAGCACGGCCATATATTAATATAAGTTTTTTGGGTTTTTTTTTCCCGACTGTTTTAGCTTTTATTTTTTTCCTTGGTGACATTTAGTAGGATTTGCTGTTCGTGGGGAAAAACAGCTGTAAAATTACAGCCAGATGGGCAGCGGACTTTATTGGCAGAATACTAATTGAAACACAGTGAAAGCATAAAAACCTTACTTTTTGACATATGAGGGGTTCTGCTGATGCTGTTGGGCTGATAATACAATGAATTTTTCAGGATGGTTGATAATTGGCAGATAAAGGCGTCTCCCTGGCTTATTTTGACATCTCACCACCCCACGTGTAATTTTTCCCTCATTGCAATATTATGCTCGCCCTGGTAAAAAGCTTTAATTTCTTTGGGTCGCCCCTACACCCCGATGGGTAATGGGGGTCACCCCGATGTAAAGATGTGTCCGAAAAGCCCTTGATGAGGAGCAAAAGGAGGGGGAGGAGAGAGAGGGGGGGAAGCGATGTTGCGTAATGGAAGCATCTCTCCCAAAACTGGGGAGATGAGGACTTCCTGCTCCCCGCTTCCCACTCGAGCCGCCATGGTGTCCCCACGAAGTGCAGACTCCTTCCCCTGGGGGGTGCAAGCGCCAGGGCCCGGGGGTTCTCTGTGTTTTTTTATTTCTTTCTCCCCCGAACTTCGCAGCCTTTGTTCGAAGCGGTTCAATCCTGTTTGGGACCGGCTTTGTAGGAGGGGGGTGGGCCGCCCGCTCCGCGCAGATTGGCCGCAGCCGTCAGGTGGTGGCGATGACTTAATTCCCCAGTGCAAGAAAATAATGTTAAAACCCGGTTATGTAATTTTTTGGGCTGCTTGTCCCCCTTTTTTAAGTATTTTTTCCCCTGAACATACATCATATACACAGCAACGATGCGGTATTTCTCGTTCTTTCTTAAAAAATAATAAATGTAATTTTTGAACAACTCCGGGCGGCACCTAGCCCTTCACACAGTATTCCCCAGCTCAAAGCTGTAGCAGAACTCGGGCCTTTTTTTATTTTTTTTTTTTTTTTCACATCTCGAGCACACCGCGCTAACGAGGTAACTTAGGGCTGCCACCGCATAAGAAATCAGTCACCTGAGCGTAACTTCCCGCGGGTTCCAAGAGCGTGGAGACGGGAGTCTGCAGCCACGCAGCAGCAGCAGCCGCCCGTGGCGGGGAGAGCACGCGTGGGAGCGGGCGGGCCGGGAGCCCCGCGGGGCCGCGTTTCCGTGCCTGCCCTCGGCGCTGCCCCGCGGCCCGGCCATGCCTGCCCTCAGCGCTGTCCCGCGGCCCGGCCGCGCCATGATTGGCCGGCCGCGGTTTGTTGCCCTGTTGCTAAGGCGATGCCCGCCGCTGATTGGCGGGGCGCTGGCGGCGAGGGTGAGTGAGCAGGTTTCGCTGCCTGCCCCCGGCGGGCTGGGGCCGCTCCCCGAGGCGATGGCTCGGCGCAAACCCCTCAGAGAGAGAGGGGGCAGGAGGACGTGCTGCACTCCGTTTCGTCCCTGCCCCATCACCTGAGGGGTCTGCCCGGCGCGGGCGGCGGCAGGGTCCGCCCTGGGTGCGGAGCCGGCAGCGTGCGAGAGCGGCAGGGCTGGCGGCGCTCCGGTTCAGGCCGGTCGGCTCCTGCTCCAGCCCGCGCTGATTGACAGCTCAGCACTTGTTTACCGCGGCGTGGCGGGACTGCTGAGCTGGCAGGAAGGGGGGGAGCGCTGCTTTCAAGCTGGGGCTGCGCCGCTCTCCGCCAGGCTCCCCCCCACCCCAACCTCGGGAAAAAAAAAAATAAAACAAAAACAAATAAATCGTATTTATTGGAAAAAAATTAAAAAAAAAAAACCCAAACGCAAACTAACCGTATAAAAGCCCACCTTTAGGCCGACACGTTTTCTTGCTTTTTCAGCACATTTTCCTGACCTACGTTGAGTGATGTTGCGTGCTGAAGGTGTATTTATTTCCACATCTTGCTGATGGGAGGGGTTTTTTTTTTGTTTGTTTTGTTACTTCGTTTCTAAATTTTCGGTATTTGCACTGCAAGAGGTAGAGCATCGGCTCTTCTATAGGACAATAGAAACTCAGAACCCTCCTTCATGCCTCCATTAATGCTTCAGACCATCACACATAAGCTGTTCTCTTTCAATTTTTCTTGCTATAACCCCTTTAATAATTCCAGCCCTTTTTGTCTGCGAGGTGCTCAGTCATTTTTTACTCAACTTTTATTTTGACCAAGTCAGCGGTTTTCTTGTTTAATGTCAGGATAAACTGCAATTTTCTTGTGGCATTTGAAGCTGGACAAATAATCGTGACCATAAACAAGGGTCAGCATTCCTGGCATAAAACCAGAAAGCATCTGTGCTCTGTATGAGCAAGATCAAGTTAATCTATTAAAGAAAGAAAAGGTTTAGCTCTAGATAGCATTATTTGGGCAACTTGCCATTTCCTGTGTCCCTGAATCTGTTGGGTATTTTCTGGGTGCTGCTCGTATACTTACTCCTTTATCACACGTTTGTACGATTAATGTCTGGACACTGTTGCCAGGCAGGAGATACAAAGAAGCTGAATTTCTAATTTTAATCTTAAGCGCAGACTTGATGCTGTTAATGCTGGTAAAAAGCCTGCTCTAGTTCATGCTGAACAGCAGTTGAAAGCAACATTATTTCCTTTACAGACCTTGAATGGAGGCCTTGAAATGGCAGCAGTTGAAACTGTGTCACTGTGCAGAGGTAGCGTTATATTGAAACATTAACCTCTGCTTCTCTGTAAGGCGAAGCTGGTAGTCCTGCCTACCTTTCTATCAGTCGGAGTTGGTCCTGCTTTCCCCCAGTTAATAACTAATGGACTGGAGACCTTGTTTCTGGGATATTACGTTCTTTGAGTGTTGTAATATGTGAGCAAATTGCTTTTTTTCTTGGAGAGAAGCCGACACAAGGTATAACATGTATGCAGCTGGAATAGCTTGTTTTTGTTCTTTTTTAGATGATGACAATTCAGAAGAGGGCCTTCACTCCATCCATTCAGGAAGGCATGAATATGCATTCAGCTTCGAGCTTCCACAGACGTAAGTACCCACTCTCAGTCCTCCACACAGGGCTCTGCTGCCCACCCACCTGACTAAAACTCCTGCTTTGGGTGGAGGGGAAACCTTTTCAATGGTAGTAGGAATTGTGCTCGTAACATGCAGTAGAGAACATAATCTCATTAAACTGAAGAGGTTGCTTTTACACTGATATACCCATCTTTTATTTAAAAAAAATTCCACGAAGAAGGAGCTTACTGCTGCCCAGTTGCTCACTTTCATTTTACCAAGTCTTACTGACTGACTAGATATTCCAGTATATTACCCCTTCTTAAGAGGAGGGAGGGGAATTTGAACTGTTGCTTAAGTCCTGCAGAGTGGCTGAAATACCTTCTAACTCAACCATTTACTGGAGTTATGCAGACCAGCAGATCTAGAGACTACATCACAGTGGAATTGTTTGGGCTCAAGTCTGAACAGATGTGGCAAGTGTACTTAGATTTCAACAAAAGAGGAGGTTGTTCTTATTCAGATAGGATCTGTGTAGCCAGGGTGGCTATTTATGCAGAAAGCTTGGATGGAAACAAACTTAAGAATGGGTGAATAAAGTAAGAAGAATTTTCCTACCAAAAAACATTTTTTTCAGAAAACAAAGGCAAAGCAAGAGTAAGAGCAGAAGTTTGTTCTGGTAAGATAAAAATTGTTGCCCCACTCCTGTGTGAAATATGTAACACGGGCACTGTAGATGTAAGATTGGACGTAGTAGAGTTGGAAATACGGAAATGAGCTAAAAATACAAGTTCCTGAAAAATCAAATACACAGGAAAAGAGGGAGTATGAGTATGGATGAAAAATGAGCCTTTTCCTGTAAAAGGCAAGTAGTGGGCATTAAAAATTTAAAAGCCGCTGAAAATTTGGCAGTTTTATGTGAAGTAAGCTCACTGCCTAATAATAAAGTTGTTTATTAGAAGTGCTGGTTTTAGCAGAATGTGTACATGGTAAACAATTTTACAGTTTCAAAGTGAATAGCACAGGACTTCTGCATTGTTTCAGTAAGATTTTCTGGGAAGATCTGTGAACATGGAGATTTTAAAGACAATTTGGCATTCTGTGAAAATCTCAACATTTAGGCCAGTACTGATTTTCCCTTGAGTTTAAAAGGGGATACAAAAAAAAAAAATCCCAAACCCAAAACATTAAAAGTGTGAACATGAAATGCATAGCTTGAAGTGAAACAGCCAAATAGCAAAATATCACAAGCATTGTGATATTGAATCATTGATTGTTTCTAAGTGTCACAAAAGAATAGCTGTTAACCCAGTTTTTAATAATACTGGAAAAACAAAGAGTGATATTAAAAGCCTGAACTTTGATGCTGCCTACTTACTTACTATTTTGTGTCCATAGAATATTTCCAAAGCTGACGTAAGCTTCAGAGCAACAGTGGAAAGATGTGCATCATCCTTACTGATTTTTCTTCTACAGAATATAGGACAGAATGAAAAACTGAAGTTTTAATTGCATTATTAGGGAAAAAAACTAAACATTTCAAATGTGCAAATACTGAAGTCAAACCTGTAACTGAAAGAATAATACTAGTAAAGCACTAGCATGGCTAGTATTACTCTCTAGGGAAAATACGGAAATGTTACAAATACTTTGGTTTAATGTATATATAACAGTATATTCAGAACATAGTAAATTACCAAAAAATACTTATAAAAATAAAGACAATAAGTTACAGAAACTACTGTTAATTGGAAATAATTGAACTTTAAAGATACTTTATCTTTCATTTTATGATACTACAGTAAAAAAGGCAGTGTTTGCAGGACTGAAAAAACTACCTGCATCATCTTTCCTCCAGCTTCTAAAATAGACTTCTTTCATTTGACAAATTCCAGAGTAGTCTGCATGATTTTGTATGTGCACGTATATATAAATACATATATGTGTACATTCTTATGTATTATAAATGTTTTAAGCTGTCTCATCAGGGTAGAGAAAGATTAGAAGGTGCTCAAAATAGCCTCTCTTCAGAACTCCGTGTTGTAATATTTACTCTGCTTAAGGTGAACTTAACTATGGAAGTGCTGAGTTACAGCTAAAATTAACCTGATGTTGAGCTACTGTAAATAATACACAGTGATTTACAAAAGGCAGTATCCAAAACTATAATTGGTTGATATTAATGGTAATTCTAAATTGTTAGTCAAAAGGGCATACTTTACTGTAGATGTGGAAGTGGCCTCTTGAGTTAAAGAAAATCTGAGCTCTCCTGGCATTTTCTAGTACAATTCTTTAATTGATTCCTAAAACCTATGAAAAACTATAGGAGGATAGATTGGAGATGATTTTTTTCTCTCATCTTTAATCTAGATTTTTTTCTGAGATACTCTACATTAAGTACTACAGTGCATTAAAAATGCAGTTCTAGATACTAATCACTGACTTGATCAATTGTATCATTATGAGACAGAAAGACTTTACTCAGTTCTGACCTTTGTGTCCTGCACAGACCACTTGCTACCTCATTCGAAGGCAGACATGGCAGTGTGCGCTATTGGGTGAAAGCCGAATTGCATAGGCCTTGGTTTCTACCAGTAAAATTAAAGAAGGAATTTACAGTCTTTGAACATATAGATATCAACACTCCTTCATTACTGGTAAGAATTGACAGAATTCGTTTTTTGTTTCTGGCATAAAAAAATAATGAAGTTTAATCATTGAAACAATTGCCATATCTAATTTTACCTAATGCATTACCTAATACTTACCTGATACTTAGTTACAGCCAATCTTTAAAATATTACATTGGTTCTGCAACTCTGTAAGTACTGGCATTTTGAAAGCTACATTTTCGTCTCCTTGGAGTTGCTTTACTGTTAAGATGCATAAAATGTTTTTGCCAATTTAAATTTATACTAAATTGTTAAGTGTGAGTAAGAAGGAAAATTTCAAGAACTGTCCTTCTTTGATTCTGAATAAAGAACAGTGAAACTTAAAAGAATTAGTGTGACAGACTGCAAACTTAAAAATGCAAAGGAAATAATGTACTGGTGTGCATAATTGATAATTTTCATATGGATAGTTTTCTACCAATGGGGAGAAATTATCACAATGGTCTATAATATTTTTCTGAAATATAATTTCATTAAAATAATTTCAACAGCATAACTCCTTTCAATGAGGATGTATTTGAATTCAATCAGACCTAAAACTCTATTTCCCCCCACCCCCCCTGCCACTATTCTTCAAATTCACCCCCCATGGAGAGGGGGAAAAAAAAAATCTCAAAATCCATTGAAATAGGTTTCTTGTGTGTATGGGTGAAAAACTAGACTTAGAAGGGGACACTGGCCATGCGCAAATTCCATTAAAATCAAAAGACTCTCATTTGACTTTAATGGGCTTTGGATCAAGTCCTTAATCCTGGTATCTTGTAAAATAACAAAGTCTGTTTAATACAGATGAAACAGGATCATTTTAAAACGGGAAATAGCAGGAGTTAAGGTTACTGTACTTTACCTTAGTTACTGTCTCTGAATGCTGTATAAAGATAGATGTTCTAGTTTACTGGTAAATTAAAAGCTATTCAGCAGTATGGTGGGATATGTAGGCTATAAAGCCTTTCCTTAAGCTGTGCTAAATTTATTTATGTATAAAAACTAGTTTTAAGTGTAACTGCAGTATGAAGTGTAACAAAAAAGCACTGTTAATAAGTATGGAATGAGAATAAAGCTTATGGTTTGCACAGTGCAATTTGCTTGAGGTTTCTCCTTCTAAATAAAACTAGATATGCTTAACAAAATGCACATAAAGTATATAATAACTTTTTTGTGTTGATTAAAACAGATTAAAAGAATAATGTAGCACTCTATTAAATGGTAAATATTGTTCTTTTCTTGCAGTCACCCCAAGCAGGCACAAAAGAAAAAACTCTCTGTTGTTGGTTTTGTACCTCAGGCCCAATATCCTTAAGTGCCAAAATTGAAAGGAAGGGCTACACCCCAGGTACGTAACAGAAGTAATTATAGGAAATGTTTTTCCTTCCCTTTTAAAATGACAGTGTCTACTTAGCTGCTGTTATATAAAAGAAATACTTAAACTCTTCTTACCATTTTGGTTTGCATTCATCTGTCTTGCTAGTTTAAACGACTGATTTTGTTAGCTTGTTCTGTCTCCATATTGTTAAAGAACATCTGCTTTTATTGGGCCTGTGCATTTTTCTGTTAGATTTACCTCATGGTGACCTTATTCCTGCTAGCATCAGTGGATGTTGTTCAAAGTGTGGAGCATTGCTAGCAGCATCCATTTCCTTGTAACAGTACACAGTATGTGGCAATTTGCTTCACTTGCCTTGCAAATAAATACAAAAAACAAAATGTTGCTTTCTTTCAGGTGAATCAATTCAGATCTTTGCTGAGATTGAGAACTGCTCTTCCCGTGTGGTGGTGCCAAAGGCAGCCATTTACCAAACACAGGCATTTTATGCCAAAGGGAAAATGAAGGAAGTCAAACAGCTTGTTGCCAGCCTGCGTGGAGAATCCTTGTCATCTGGCAAAACAGAAACCTGGAATGGCAAACAGTTGAAAATTCCACCTGTTTCTCCTTCAATCCTTGACTGTAGTATAATCCGTGTGGAGTATTCACTGATGGTATGTTTCGTTGTTTCATTGGAGTATGAGTAGTTTCCATGGCTCCTTGCAAATTGTTAACAAAGCATTGTGAACTGCTTACTAGTTACATAGCCTAGCATTAGGTGTCCAGACAAGAATTCTATAAGTAAATTCAGTTTAAATCTTGCATGTTCTAAGGAAATGTGTTATGAGTATGTGGCATTTCCATGTGAGGACTTGTGTTAGGAATATAGAGCTGCCTTTGTCTGGGAGGGCTATTTGTCTCCATAGGGACACTGGCTCTGAAAGAAACAAAATGAAATTTCAAACCCCTGTGAAAAATTACATGGCTGGAGCTTTTAGTCTAATGATTCAAAAGTGCTCATACAAACCTATTTTTGATCTATGCATTTTTATTGTTCTTTAGGTATATGTGGATATTCCTGGCGCCATGGATTTATTCCTTAACTTGCCACTGGTCATTGGCACCATTCCTCTACACCCGTTTGGTAGCAGAACATCAAGTGTAAGCAGCCAGTGTAGCATGAACATGAATTGGCTTGGTCTGACACTGCCTGAAAGACCAGAAGGTAACCTGACAAAACAAGTCTGTTTCACTTTTGGTGTGCTTTATTCATTGCTGTCACGCAAGCAAGACACAAATTATTACATCCTTCATAATAAGGTCCATAGAAGGTCCAACATTCTTTGTGGATGTTTCCTTGCTACCTGCTTGCTCTCTGTAGAAGAACGGAGTTCCCCTCTTTGCCTTCCTCTATCAGGTGTAGAAGCTGTGGAATCCAGCTGCTTGGAACCTGGTAGAAGTGAAACATTGTACCTGGGCAGAATTAATTCTGCCTCCAGTATCCCAACTGTACCCTTGGTTGTAACCTGTCAGAGTAGCAGTTAAGGTGACATTTATCATCCTTAGTAGCCGAGAGACTGTGAAAGGATAATGTAATTAATTTCAACGGGAATCTCCATTGTCAAAGGAGAAGCTCTGTAGCTTCTTTCTCTTTGCATATAAACATCTGGGGTTTTTTTGCATTCTGAGTATGCTTTAAATTTGAAGGTGATAATTAGGCCACAATGAATAAAGGTCAGTCTGCTGCTGGATTTGAGCATAGTTGGAAAATAAAGTATAGCAACCTACTCTCTTTTTCATGTTCAATTAACTGTGTAAAAATCACAGAAGTAATTTATCTAAATGCTGGTCCATTTTACAGTATAAAAGTTTAATATTTATCATATGTTTTGACATGCATAAGAACTTGTTGTTCGAACTGCGTGTGCCTTTTCCCTGCAGCACCTCCCAGCTATGCAGAAGTGGTTACGGAGGAACAACGGCAGTCCAGCCTTGCACCCTTAGGTGTTTGTGATGACTTTGAGAGAGTGCTTCCAGGACCACTGTTTGCATACATCCAGGAGTTTCGTTTTCTGCCTCCACCCCTTTATTCAGAAGTAGGTACCTAAGAATATAATTATGAATGCACTGTTTTTCTGAATTCTGTCATGTAGAATAAATGTAAGAAAATCTTTCTATTTTATGAAAACAAGGACAAATAAGCAAAAATATAAAAAGGGGAAAAGTAACTTAGTTTTAGCAAAGTTCAGGCAAATTGCATCAAAAAATTTCCAGGATTCTTCACTATTCTAATGCTTCATAGAGATTCCAAAATTGTTTTGCACTCTTTCAGCAACTTTAATTAAAGTTATATTGCATTATATATGTAATGCATGACATTACTGAATACCAATGTTTTGAGTCTATAGATGCACAACAAACTGGTTTTCAACTCAACTCTCTAAAAGTACTCAGTATTTTTAGTTCTTTGTATGTATTATTTTCAGAATTTCCATGCAGAGAAGATACAAAGGTTTATTTTCTGACTCAGGTTTCTCTAAATGCACAGTTCAAACATTTCTGTCGGCAAGTTAAGTTCTGTGAAAGTCACTCCATAACTAGGACACAAGTTCAGGCTTCAAAACCTTCAAAAGCCATGTTTATATTTTTCAGGGAAAAGCAGTGGTATAGGACAAAATAGAGTAATGTCCTTTGGGTAAATCTTGCCTGGATCCACCCACTCTTGATTGTTTCTTTTCCTCTTGAAGCACTTAACCTGCCAGTGAATGAGTGAGTGGCATGGTTTTTGTGTCTCTTCTAGAACATAAACCTAGAATACTCTGGGGCTTTTCATTTTACGTACTTTAAATATTTAGAAGTAAGCTTTTCCTTAGTTCTAAAAAATACCTTTTTAAAATAACTGACCAAACTATATAGTGTCCACTTAAAATATAGTTCCTATTGTATTTTGGAGATCTAAGTTAGAAACCATGTTCTTCACCTCCTTCCTTTTGTTCAAAAGGAAGAGGAGGTAATGCGTGGTACACATGAACTTCTGAAATATTTTATGGGGTTTTTCAGGATTCATTACTTATAAATTAAGTAGAAGAACTTTTTGCAAATAACTTTGTGCCTTTTTAAGTAAAATGTCTCCCAAAATCAATTTAGTATTTTAAGTTACATATTAGAGTGATGAGTCTGGTTGTCTTCTTACTATGCAAAAAATAATTTAGAACCTTTGTGCTACTATAGCAGATTCTGTACAAATTTTTTTTACATGTTTGTGCTTATTCTTAAGCTACCATCAACATGCAGTTTAAAATGTTTCACTCTACTTAGTAATTTGCAATTCAAAGTTTTATCTAATTTTTAGAGATACTTCAGTTTCCTGAGTAACTTTTGGATTGAGAATACCATTTATCTCTGACTGTCTTGGACTTAAAAATTTCAGTGTTTGGATCAATTTATTTCCTAGCAATCAGTTCTAAAAATACCTTGGGTTGTTGTGGTTTTTTATCTTTTGTTTAGATTGATCCGAACCCAGATCAACCCACAGACGACAGACCATCTTGCCCTTCTCGTTGAAAGAATCCATAAGAAGCTGACTTGACTTGGGTTTGGAATCGTACCTGCCGTGTTGAAGGTCAAGGCATCATAGTGGAGACACACTTTCAAAGAAAGTGGGTTTACTCTTGCCTGTGTGGTGAATAAATGAAAACAACCTGTGATTATGCTTTGAAGCCTACAGTAACATTGTAGGACTGCTCCACATGCTTGAAGAACTGAGCTTTCCCCCCCTCCCTCTTAAATACTGGCACATACTAGGAGCAGCCTTACTAACCTACAGTCATGTGTGTCCAAACACTCAAACCACATTAAGAGAGGTTTGGCTTCCTCTTACAATTTGGAAATTTGCACATGCTTATTGCTTACATTGTGCGGTTCAGTGTCACTACAGCTTTTTCTCATTTATGTCGGACAGTTGTTAGCCCTTTCTTATGTCTTGTGGTCCGCACAATAAGGAGCAAAAGAAAGCTTTGACAAAAAAGAAAGAAAGAAGCAAACAAAAAACCCAACAGCAAGAGACTTTGACAAATGCACTGACTTTTCTTTTTTTTTTTAATTTAATGTAGCCTGGACTTTACCTGCATATGCACATGCTCAGAATTGTCCTAGTAGGCTGATCATGTATCACCTCTTCAGCTTGGATCCTATTCTGGATTTATTTTACAAACATCAAATGCCTTCAAGCCAATCCTTCTTGCTGTATGTTTTGCAGCCTACTGTAGTAAATAAGCAACAAGATATGGGGATAGGGTGGGAGGGTGAAGAGTTAGAAAGAAACTAATAGACTTTGTCAAGATTGTATACTTTCTTGATTTCTTTTAAGAATTTGTTGCCTTTCTACTATTATCGCAAAGCAGCATTTTGTTACAGACTGCCTAAAAATCACTTAATCTCAGGTGAACTCATCACTTGCCAAACTGTTGGAATGCTATTTGTTTTTTTTACATTGCACTGTTTAGTTCTTTTTTTGTTTTGTGTTTGTGTTTGTTTTTTGTTCTTTACTTGAGAGGGAGATCTGGAATAAGGACATACACAAAAGTTACAAAACCCTCCTCATTCCCATTTCTCTTTCTGCATTATAAAAAAAAGATGTTCAAGTTGTGAAGCTCTAAAAGAAAGGCATAAATGAAAGCAGCACCAGCAGACACCAGCTTTTCCTCAAAAGATTCTTAAAAGGAAGTGGTCGTACACTGCCTAGGATTCACAGACAAACCAATACTTCAAGTGGTAGGGATAGGAAGGGAAAGTAAATTTATTTTTATATATAGCTACTTAATCACCAAAAATTCTATATGTGATGGGTGTAATAGAAAGTATATTTCAAACTGCAGGAAAAAGCTGCTTTTATGCTAAGAGCTCAGTTTGTGCACTTTGTATTACCTTCAGGGTTTATGATACTGTACAAGATTACAAGTGTAATTAAAGTGAGAAAGATCCATGTTACCAGCCGTACCTAAATATGAGTTAGCTGGAAGTGCTTTGATAACTGCATCTTCTGTGACACTCTCAAGAGCTTTAAAACAAACAGAACCTTGAATTATACCATGTATTCATGCAGAATGTAAGAAAACATATGGAAAGAGCATTTGCCTTTGAGTATGCCCCAGGAAAAATAGTGCAATGAAGCCATTGCCTGTGCTAACAAATACCAGTGCTTACATGCTAGAGATGTACAATGGAAGTCAACTTTGTTCTTCAGAAACTGTGGAAACAGATCACTGACAAAGGGACACCATTCTGGTCTTGGCTGTTTGAACAAATCAAGATCTAATCCATCAAATACTTGTCTCCTTGTGCAGTAAAAAAACTCTGAAGAGAGTGGGAGAGAGGAGGTTGGTGTTTCTGCATGGTGCTCATTTTTAAAAACCTTTGCCTTGTTTTTAAGGCTTCATAAATGTGACAAAATAGGCTTTTCCATAAGTGGCCTTTATGAGAACATGAAATATCATTCATGTTTCAAAAATGACAACAGGGTGATAAAATATAAATGAGTCGCGTTTTAAGTGATTCAGTTAAAAGGCTTGGGTTTGGAGCGGGAATATTGGCAAAGAAGGAAATTGGATGATGTTACTAGGCCAATTTTGTGGATGTCCCTTCCCTCTACCCTCTCCAACCAGACAATTTTTAAAGCTGATGGGATCGTTGGTATAAAAGGGCATTTGGTGGTTTTACTTTTTTTTCCTTTTTTGTTGTTTTTACAGACTAGGGAACAATTCCTGATATATACAGCATTAAAGTACTTACCACAATACAATGGAAAATTGCATATGAGGCAGGATTGACCAATATCATAGTAATTCACTTGGCATTACAGTCTTTATGATTAGAATGAAAAATTGTATAAGTTTATCAAATAAAGACTTCCATTTTAAATTACTCAGAGGTGTTGCTCTCCCACAAATATTGGTCAATTCACAGCATTATAAAACTTGAGGTTCACAGTTGAAACCCAGTATTTGATAGAGAATTATGAATTAGGAAAAAGTAAGTAAAATCCAAACATTAGAGAAACAAAGTGCAATATTAAATGTTTGCTTTATAGATTATATTCTATGGCTGTTTGAACTTTTTTTTTGTTTTTAGTTTTGGTGCTGAATATGTCCTTGTAGACTCTTGTTTTAAGAAAACAGTATGTGGAAAACAAGTTTAATTTTTCCTATTGCTCTTCCTTGTGAAAAATAAACTTTTGTAAAAAAAAAAGGTTTTAAATGTTGTATCTATGTGTAAAATAAAAAACCACAAGTATTACGTAATATAGGAACTTAGTGTGGGAAAACATGTATTGCTTTCTCAAAAAATAGAGAAAAACTATTTCTAGAACTATACCGCTGAGTACCGCTGGAGTCTAGTTTTGGGATCCTGTCTCTTATTTACATCACTGAGCTCATGGGGCCAGGTCCCAGATAAGAAATGCCTTTTTAGGACTCTGTATCACATTACAGCTGCAGTGACCCTGTTTTGAGCTGTCTGGTCCTTTGCCTGAGGAGGTGACACAAATTTTGGGGAGTAGGAGGGAGAGGTCTAGTTTCAAAGGTCTAGTTTGCAGATGGAACTTTGATGTGAAGTTTGTTGCTTTGGGGTGTAGAAAATGTCCTTTGCTGTTCCCTTGGAAATAAGGAGACGTGGAAGTGTGTGCCCTGTGTAGTGCTGTTGAGGCTCCCCAGTGTGCCAGCAGCATGGCAGTGCTGCCGTATGTCCTGTATGCTATGCATGGGCAAAATGGATTGTCATCATCCTTCAGGATCAGCATGTCATTTGACCTGTGAGAAGCTCAGGGGCTTGAGTGGCAGGCTTGCCCTCTGCACCTCTGTTGGTGTTTCGGTACTGGGCCATGATGTTCCCACAGTACTGTATTTTCAGGCATGCAGCTGCTAATGTGGGTGACACACTGATCCAACACCCTACATAATACAACCAATAGGACCTCCTGTCTAAACAGACTATTTCAGCTTAATTTTGAGTTTGTTTTTGGTGAAGAATTCAGACAGACTTAATTTTCTCCTTATTAATAGCATTGTTAATAATATTCGCCTAAATTCAGGTTAAAACCAATAAATGTGACGCTTGTAATTTTGCTAATCTGCTTGGAGATGTGTTACTGCGTATAACCTCTGCTTGCAAAGAAGGATGATGCAGCTTTCCCTAATTGCCCTACCAGTGGGCTAGGGAGGAAAGTCACAAGAGTCAAGTGAGAAAACTAATGAGTTGACATAAAGACAGTTTAATAAAATAAAAGCCACAGACACAAAGCATACCAAGGAATTCCTCCCCAGTGAATTTCCAGTGGGCAGGCTTGGGTTCAACCATCTCCAGGAAATCAGGACTCCATCATGCCTTTATGGTGACATGGGAAGACAAGCTCCATCAATCTGAATGTTCTCCTACTTCCTTCTTCCCCCACCTCTATGCTGAGCATGACACCATATGTCCTAGAATATCCCTGTGATTCACTAGGGATCAGCTGTCCCAGCTGTATCCCCTCCTAGCTCCTTATCTACCCCCAGCCCACTAGATGATGGAGTGATTCAAGAAGCAGGAAAGACCTAGATGCCTTGTGAGCTCTGCCCAGCAGTAACTACAACATCTGTATTGTCAGTGCTGCTTCCTGTGCAAATCTGAAACACGTCCCGCTACTGTGACAGAAATTAACTACCCCAGTCAAAACCAGAACAAACTCCTTCATAGTTAAGTGACTATATATGTATACATATTTTTTAATACCTGAACAAACCCTTCTAATGCTGTGTAACAGTTAGAATTTAAATTAGCAGCATTAAAGGGACACTCTGCTAGCAGTTCTGCACAACATCTTGAAATCCTGTATTTTTAGGAGAGTACCTAACTTAGCTGTATTGTCAGTGTTATAAATTTTGAAATTATCAAAGTTGTTATTTGAGACCTTGAGAATTTCTAAATGCAGATGTTTATTTCTTTACATAAATGTTATAAATGCAAATATATAAATATGTACAAAACCCTGTTACACTAGGATGTAAAACTAATGGCTTTTCCACCTCAGACATCCATTGAAGTGTACAGAACAGCAGCATGTTACAATTGCCTAAGCACTTGAGCTTTGAGAAGCAATGCTGCAATATGGATCAAGATATTTTCTGGGAATTTGCTAGTTAAAACATGTACCTATACTTTTTAAACCCTTGCTAGATTTAAGCCTTCCCTTGCTTTACAGAAATGGACCACTACCTTGCTGTGATCTTCATCTACCTTACCTTTCCACAGCATAGCTACAAAGCATGAAGTCCAGGTACCACAGTGACGAAGGATCTTCAGAAGTAGCTCTGGAAGCTGGGCAGCAGCACAGCAATGCTTTTCCACAGGAAAACATGTTTGCCTGGGCTGATGCTGCTGATCTGAACCAATTCCTGCAACTAGGTACACAGCTATATTCAACTATTGCAGAGAGACAAATGCCCAGCAGAGATTTTTCATAGTCTAGTAGTGCAGGAAGACAGCTGTTCCTGGGGCCACAGAGGCCGGATGTCCTGCATCTGTTGTGGATTTTGGATGGAGTCCCCCTTCAGAGACTCACAGACATGTTATGGATTACCAGCATTTGCACTATATGACCATTCCTGTGGATTTTAGCTCCTGGATTTTGATATTATTAGTGAAAGTCACCTGCAAAGGCAGATTGTCAAGCACATTCCACCTTGACCTTCACATCATATCCTGGAAATAGCAGAAAAGTAACCTATATCTTCTCCCAGCAGTCATTCACTCCTGGAACTCCACATGGATACAGCATGCTATTTCTAGAACTGGATCTCCCTACCTAGTGGATGTTATGACAGAGCAGTAGCTTCTGAGTAGAGTCCAAGTGCTGCCATGAAATCCAAGTTGAACAGTGTACCTTTCACCTAGTATAGCACCTATTCGGGGATTCAGAGTTCAGAAGGACACTACCTGTTGAGTTTGCTTCAGGCACCCTGCCTGAAATGTTTGTCATACTTCGATGAAAGACAATTACCCTGATCAGAGAAGAGGGGAGTGCTAAATATAACATAAAAAATGAATTATTTAGATGTATTTTGAGGAGGGAGAGGAATGTACTATTAAACTATTAAAAAACACATCCAGAAAGTTAGCCTGGCACTATGTGATAATTCTGTGTTTTACACAGGAAAAACTCAACTGTCTCTCTAAGACAGTGAATTCCATCTAACATGAGCAGGTTCCTTCATGATCTTCTGCTGGGGCACTGAGGGGAATAACCAAGCACACATGTATTCCTCTTGCTCCCATATGTCACTACCAAGAGTCTATCGTCTTCCATCACTAGTCTTTCCAGGCTAAAGCATGCCTTTGACTCACCAACTCTCCACCAAATGCTTTGTAATGGCAAGGCCACGACCTGTTACCTGTTTATTGGTGTAGCAAATGTTATTTCTAAAATGAACTGATGAATGTGACGCCATTCAATCTTTCTCAAAAGAGATATGATACTTTTTTTTTTTCAGCTGAATAGTAGGTTGGAGCATAGGAGGAGAGGAAAAATTATTTTAAAATCTGGTTATTATTTATCTGAAAATTAATGCAATTTACCAGAGTTAAAAAAGGCCTTGCTGTGATTGGACTGCCTTGAATTAAAATGAAACTCCCCACTGCAGGTGGTCAATATTCAAGGCAAAGCTGTCATCGTTGCACATCAGCTAAGAAACAGAATTTAAGAATACCTTCTGTAAAAGGTGTCAAGTATTCAGCAGGTAATAACTTCTGATTAATAAATTGCTTGTTTATTATTTACAATCTTGCTTGGGGTGTCTACCCTAAGTCAGTTGAATTTTCTTGAAACTGCTTCATTTCTTCTGTAAGTAGCCCATTTTTCCTAATTAAGAATTCCAAGAAAATAGATCATGATAACAACTGCATCTTTACTTAAAAAAAAAAAAAAAAATCAGTATTAAATATGCAACATAAACAAAGAGAAGCCTGCAGCAATGTTTTACAGCTATATAATTATCTACAATAAATTAAACTAAATGGTCCCCTTCCCTATCATTTTACAAGATAAGACAGGAAAGACAGTTTTACTGCTGGTCATTGTTTTTTTAGTCTATCAGCACTGTTTATGATGACAGAGTTGCACAGCTCTAAAATAACAAAGCAGTTCTTCAGTTGTACCATGTAAAACTGACCTCCCAAAGAAAACAAAGGAAGAAAATTATGTGGCCTGTGCAGAAGCGGAACAATGTAAATTAATTCAAATATAAAGCCACAAAATTTCTTTCTTTTTCTGATTTTCTCTTCTTAACCCTCATAGTTCAAAGTAATTCAAAGGAAGTAATAATCTTCTCTTAATTGCTGTCTTTCTCTTCCTAAATTTTTTCAAACTTTTTAATGTTTCAAAATATCCTACTTCTTTTCTGTGCATATAACTTATGCTACCATAAAGCCTCATATAAGCCTGTATTTCTTCAAAGAAAACCCATTTCATCCAACTTCTCAGAATAAGTTTGAAAATACACTATAATCTTTCTGCCCCAGTCACATTTTATGGAACAAAAATGGAACAAAAACTAGGAATACTGACTAGATAGACTTTTGAATTCCTTGTATAAAACTGACTTTTTATTCATGGTATGAACGACTAAAGAAGCAGTTGCAATATGGGAAATATTTAAGGTGTTTCAGCATTATTATCATGAATTATATCACAATGAATGCAAATTTACTTATCACTTGAAGGTGATTTTATCACAGGTTAAAAGCATTCAGAGGAACCACTAATTAATTAGAGTACACTGCAGTGAACTTGTATCTTTTTACCTGGAGTTAACAGCTCCTACCTCTATCTCACAATTACCCTTCCACCCCCCAAAAAAGCCCCAAAAAACAAAGTACTACAAACTACAAACAAATTAAGTTTTAAACAGGTTTATAAGCGGCATTTTCAAGGAAAACACTGCTTTAATGCAGGCTATAGTACCCTGCACTTGTAGGGTACACATAGTTTTTTGCTTCCCATATACAATTAGAAAGTAATTTTAAATTACATTAATTTATTTGGCATATATTTGGTACTCTTCTATGACTGCACGACTGAATATTAACTAGGTTTCTGGCACAACCAGAAGAAACAAGAAATATTACACTTCAGAGCATGGTTAGAGTTGAAACAGAGCACAAGAAGCATGTTTTATTTGCTGCTGTGAAAGGCAAGCTCCTCTGTGCTAAACCTTATTCTCTTGGCAACTAGTTGATAAATACAAAATACTCCAACAAATCATTCTTTTACATTTG